ATAGATAGATAGATAGATAGATAGATAGATAGATAGATAGATAGATATAGTTGTGCTTTTAAAGTTATAGCAATGTTTCGGCAATACAGAAGCCTGAGATGGCAGATGAGATTCTGCCGAAACTTTGCTATAACTTTAAAAGCACAACTATAATGACGTGGGAAAATACCCGAACAAAGCTGAATACCATACATGTAAGTACCTGCGAAAACTTAAGAAAACATACACACACACAAACACACACACATATATATTAAAAAACAGTCTAGTCATGTGTGCATGGCAACTGGCCACGAAGCTCTAGTGGTGCTTTCAGTTTGAAACGTTATCCATCAACCTCACTTCCCTAAATTGTCTATCTGGATGGTGGAAAAGACCCCCCTCCGTGGCTTTCTAACGGAACGTCGAGGTCAGTTGACGAACTTCACGGGTTTTCCTTTGCTGTTTTGCCTCTGCCTATCCGAAGAAAGCTTCATGAACGGGAAGCTGGCTAAGAGACGTGGAGGCCCGTGGGTGCAGGTGTTTCTATGGGCCAGGGGGGGGAAAATAAAATAAAATCTACATACCTGTTAGGGACAACGGTTACTGGGACATCCTGCTGTTCCTTTGGGCTTCCGACGATGCAAGCGATGTGGTCATATCTGGTGTAACCTGCCCGAGCATAAATAGAAGCGTGTGTTGGTCCCAATCAGAACAGCTTGCGAGAAAAGCCAATGGCGGTGGGGGCATCACCTGGAAAGGACAAAACATCTGCTGAATGTGGTAGCAGGTGCTCCCTGGAGAAGCACTTTTGACCTCTGGCTCACTTCTCAAGTTCAAGCACCTCCCTTTCTCTGGACTGAATCCTGAAATCTCTAAGGGAAAAGGAGAGAGAGAGAGAGAGAGAGAGAGAGAGAGAGAGAGAGAGAGAGAGGGAGGCGCTTTTGATTCTTCAGAAGAGGAGAGGTTGTGGTTAATGGGCAGTGTTATCCGCCACCAGCTGTTTCGGGAAGTGTCAAATTCAAGCCATCTGCCCTGCTCCTTTGCTGTCCAGCTGTCTGCAGGCTATTGCCATATTTCCAGGAGGTTATGACCCATCTGGAAGGCAGAATGCACGTTGTCCGGGGGGCTGCTTGAAACTTGCAACTGATGCATTGCAAACCAAGGTAACCAGGATGAACCATTTGGAACCATTTTTTCTCAGGACTTTAAAAAACTTCTATATTGGGTATTATTCACCCAGCTGAAGTCGATCTTTAAAGGCTTGGGACGTGGGTCCCTAAAGGTCGTTTCTGCTATATAGTATGAAATACATTCTTCTCAGGGTAATTAAGGTTAGACATTTCTTTCCATCTGTGGTCACTTTTTCCCCCCCTCCCAGAAGTTACTTTGTCAGTCACTGCTGCTGTTCAGTTTTAGGTGCTCTGCTATTATTTCATTTCCCATGCTTCCAACGAAACTGCAAATTAATTTTCCTTCTAAGTTATTTTAGCATTTCTATTTCTACCATTTTATTATCCTTCTTTTGCTACCTTTAGAGAATAACTGTGGGTTCTGGTCTACTGATGTTCGCTATTAATCTTTTGATTTATTTTTCTCTTACTTTAAACGGAAAACGTAGAGCAACTTAAAAAGCAGGGGAACACAGTAGTCTACATAGCCAAACTACTAAGGTCTACAGGAAAAAAAAAGGAGGACGCCAGCAAATCCGAGAAAAATGGCCATTTAATTAAAAATTGCAAAATAACAGTGAGCAAAAAGACAAAACACTTCTCCAAGTAACTCTGTTGACCTCACTCTCAACAGCCCAGAATGCAAACAACTCAACGGCACACTGATAATGTCAACAAGAGTGAATAATTCAAAAGTACAGAATGTGAAGCAAGTTTGGGCATCTCGTGAATGAGCTAATCCACGTTAAGAACAGGAACTTTCCCAGAATCGAGCCAAGCCTTCAGATAATTCAACCAAGGAAAGGACAAGGGGAAATCAAAGGCTGTCAACGTAAAATACATTTCATACGGAAATAAGAATATAAAAATCCACTGATTCCAGGGCACCAGGGACAAAGCATCCGCCCCAACGATGCAAAATTGTCATCCACAGTCAGATACCGTTCCAGATTTTTTGGGGGGTGGGGTGGGGGTGGGGGTAAATTGATGCTCCTTTGAGTTGACATACCCTGTCTTGGAGGAAGCCAATCTAGTCAGCCTTTTACTGTCCAGGAAAAGCAGCAGCTGCAGGAGGCTCAGCCGGCTTCTAAGCGCCCAATTAAAACCTCTTCTTGATTATTTATTCCAAGTATTGCAGCTTTCAAGGTCACAGTTGCTCTGCTCCCGCTAACGGTGACCAGCCTGTAACTGAATATTCCCAGCCATCCTAAAGTTACGTATTTTTTTTTTCCCCCCAGGGCTGCCTCACCACAAGAGGTACCAGCTGTGATGGAAGCAAAGCTACCCTCCGCCTTAAAGCTGGCTTCTGCTTCTTCTTTTTGGAGTTTCCGAGTTGTGACATACCTACAATTGGGTTCCTTCCTCCTGGCAAGTTCGGAGGATGTTCTAAGCGGGAGGATGGAAGAGGGTGGAAAGATCTGCAGGCCACGGACGGCCTGCCCCAGCCTCGTCGTGGGCCATGGCGGGGTGGTGGTGGTTACACCCTGATAGTTGGGCTCCTGCTCGTGACACCTGGGACCTGCCCCAGATCCACAGGCGTTCTCACCAGCAGGGCCTCTGATGTCACAGAGATCTCCCTAGGTGAGCAGAGCAGGCAAGGTAACTGCTCTGTTGAAGGAGGGAGGGCCACCGGGAAGGCCAGAATCACATCAACAACACGGCGGGAGACATTCGTGTGAATCCGAACCCAAACCTTTGAAGCCGCTGACCAACGTCACAATTCACACACGTGGGAAGATCAAGCAAGCATGTATGTTCTGATCCAGGCTTCGTAAACTGTACTTACTCACAAACTTGTTTTAAAAGCAAAACCTATTTTATTGCAATGCTGGGAATTGTTTTCATTCCCCGCCGGGATTCATCTTAAACAATGCCCCCAAGATAAGCACATGCCTTTCAGCTCTGTGAAGTGCTGCCCAAAACAGAAGTGTCAAATCAACTAGAAAAGAAACCAACCGAAGTACCAGAAAAAAAATGACCAGAGTACACAGAGCTTCAAGGAGGACTCAGAATCCGTTGAACTGCTTTGCTTCCTGCAAAGATGTCGTCATCTTGGCCTGACTTTTATCCCTTATGGGTCAATCACCTCTGAGCCTTACTCCTGAGTCGCCCTTTTGTCTTAGCTGCTCTCGCCTTCTAGCAGCTCTGTGCAGATGCGCACTGGGAACAGGCTCCCCTGGTTCCTCTGCCTTGCTGCTGCCAGACTCCAAAAGCTCCGGAGGCAGCACCCCACTCCCAGATGGTCCTGGCCCCATCCCTGCATTGGATGCAGGACCCTCGTCCGAGTCCTCTCCAGACTCCCTGACTGGTCCTCGTTCTTCTCCACTGCCTGATTCCGCTACCATCTGCCCAGGCTGCCGGTGAACCACAACAGTGTATATTTTGCAGAGCATTATAATAGCCCAGGATTGTTCTTCTTTCTGCGGGAACACACTTATGCAGAAAAATAACACATGTGTTGTGTGTGTGTTCAGTAACACATACGTGTTACCGTAGGAAGAAAAGCAGTCTTCCTGAGCTACTATAATAACACTCAGCAAAATACACACTTTTTTGATCTCTCATGTGTCACTGTGTTATGTTTAGAGGTTTTTAGGAAGAGACCGGACAATCACTTGTCTGAAATGGTCGAGGGTTTCCTGTTCATGCAGGGGGTTGGACTAGAAGGCCTCCGAAGTCCCTTCCAACTCTTGTCATTCTGTTGAGTGTGGATTTTGGAGATTTAAGACAAACAGGAGTTTTCATCCTACCAGCAGTGAGACAAAATAAAAACCACACACCTGGGCAAACCATGGTATGCTTTATATTTTGCTGAGGACATCTGTAATATAAGTATGATTTTTTTTTTTAGTTACAACACTTGATTGTCCACGTTACTTTCCTCTCCTCATTCTTTTTAAGACCGAAGTGAGCATTTATCTGGTTTTTTTCTTTTTTAACCTTCCATTTAGCAGCCTTTAGTCTCTCCCCAGGGGCATCGGTTTTGATCTGCTCTCCAAGTTTTGCAATTCATCCTTCAGTTGCTGGATCCACTGGCCAAAATTGCAGATGCAGATGACCAGCTAGTGAAGTCAGCTGACGGGTGGGAGGATTAGCCATCACTTTCCTTCAATTATTTGACGCTTACCGAGACAGGATCTCCCCTAATGAGCCCCAGCGTCTTTTAGAGTCATCCAATTAGTGTCCAGTTCTGTAATAACTGTACTGTTGCATTGAAAAAAAAAAAAAAGTAATTCAAGGTTTTGCCAGGCGATGAGAAAGCCCAGCCATTCTATTGTGTGCCACTTCCTGAATGCATTTGGGAGGCATGCTCTAATGCAGTAATAAACGCTCCTTTGCCTGCAAAATGTCTCAGTTTCCGTTCAGTTTTTTTGCTTCTTAAAAAAAAAGGAAGCTAAAAAAAAACCCCAAAACTAAAGCTAGCATATTTTCTCACACCCTAAAAAAGCATTCTGGTTAGAAAGGATAACAGTCTAGGACAGTGGTGGCTAACCTTTTGGGGCTCCCATGCCGATAACATCACCCTGGAAGCAAAGCCCCCCCCCCCCATGTCTCCTGCACATGCAACCCCTCCTCCCACGTATGTGTCTTCTGCACGTGTGTCTCCTGCGTGCTGCCGTGCCCCTTCACATGCACGCCAGAGATCCGACAAATCAGCTGTCGGGTGTGCAGCGGGCGTGCACAGTAGACTTTTTCTGGGTGAGTGCTCGCCTGCTGGCAGTAATGGCTCTGCGTGCCACTTCCGGCTCGTGTGCCACCACGAGTCTAGGAGTTACACTAACCGCCTGAACTATTCGAGGCAAATCGGTTTCACGTTGTTTTCCAGAAGTATCACTGGCTGAGAGCTTTGGATCGACTTTTATCTCAGATTTACAACTGGAAATGCAGGATTTGGGAGGAGCCGAAGCTGCCAAGGTTGAGAAACCCTGAGCAAAACGGGGAAATCCCAGCCTTGAATGAAGCAGGGCAGATAAGCAATGATGAAAAAGTCTCGGGTTTGTCAGGGGGGTTGGACTAGATGACCACCAAGGTCCTTTCCCGCTTTGTTATTCTGCGTTTCCCTTGGGAGAGATGAGGATCTCCCTCACCCAGATGGAGATGGGCATCCCATGTCCCGAAACGCCAGCAACTCATCCCAGGAGGTCACCGTCCCCTAGAAGGGCCGTGGTTCCAAGGCCCATCATTCCCAGCCAGGATTCCAAAGAGGATGGGGCGAGGGACGGGAGATGGGAGTCCAACTTGCCCAGAGGGCACCCAGCTGGGGAAAAGCCCATCAGCTTTTTCCACTTCCAAAATCGGGATGGGCCTCGAGTCCCATAATCCCTTCCCCGTGGCTGGGGATTATGGGACTTGGCCTTCTAAAATAGGGATGGGCATCGAGTCCCATAATCCCTTTCCCGTGGCTGGGGATTATGGGACTTGGCCTTCCAAAATAGGGGTGGGCCTCGAGTCCCATCATCCTCCACGGCTGGGGATTATGGGAGGTGAGGTCCAGGGCTGGAGAGAGGAGGCGGCACCTGGCAAGGGATGTAAAAGGGGCGGGGCCGCTCAGAACGGGAAGAAAACAGCCGGGGTGGGGCGGGGCCAAATGGGGAGGGGCGGGGCCAAATGGGCGGAGCTTCGGTATGCCTCCGCCCTCTCGCCCCCTGACAGGCTCACCTCGCCCCGGTTCCGTCTGGGTTTTGCCTCGCACGATCCCGGCTGATAACGATGGCGGCGGTCCCGGCTGCGGCCCGGCCCATCCCGGATGGAGGGGCCCGGCCCCGCAGGCCTCGCAGGCCCCGCCGGCTGTGGACCCGTCGCCGCGAAGGCAGCGCCGACCAGTCCAACGAGCGAGCGAGCGAGCTCCAGAAGCAGCACGGCGTCTCGCGCATGCGCCCCGTCACGCACTTTTGGCCCGGCCCTCAGGGGGGCAGGGGGGACCGTCTGCGCATGCGTTCAGAGGACTGGGGTTTTTCTCTCCCCCCCCCAAGGGGATAGAGGGAGGAGCGATAAAATTAGGGATTCGCGACGACTTCGGGGGGCGAGGGAGGAGACTTTCTCCGCTTCTCTCATTTTGCGAGTGGGCCGGAGCGGGTGGTTAGTGAGAATAAAACGCGCGTGGCCCCTCGGCCGGAGAGAAGGAACACGAGTGGCGTTTTTCTTCCTCTCCTGCTGAATGGCATTCCCGCTTGCTCCGCAAATGGCGGCCGTGAAATGACATCGGAAGTGACGCTTGCGTGAGCGCGCCTCCTCATGCCTCCAACTCTAGGGGTGTTCTACTTCGGCCTGGGCCGGCTCCGCGCTTGCGCAGAACGCATGTTGCCTCTCTTGCCCTTTTTTGCGGGGTTGCAGCAATTCATCAGTCCTGTAGCTGCATTGGGCACTGGGACTTTCCCCGCTCCCTTTTGCAATGCCTCTGGGCATGTGCAAAAAGCCTCGGGTTCTGTTCTTCCTCGCAGACCTTCCAATCTATCCATGCCACCCAGCCTCCCTGCTTGCGAATAATGCATTTTACACATGGTTCTTAGCAAACCCGGGACAACCTCGCAGGATAGTTGTGCACCGACCATGCTGAGGTGGGACAGCGCAATCAAAGAACCGCGTGCAATTCTTGTCGCAAGCTGCAAACTCGGTGGTTCCGGGGTTTTCCTTTAACTGCAATTCTGTGCTTTGCTGGTGATTGACAGTCAATACATGCAATTGCTATCCTTATTTACAGTTGTAACACCAATAATAATTTCATGCATGTTTGCTCAGCCTAAATAGAATTTTTTTATTGGCCAAGTGTAGACACTGGACACACAAGGGATTTGTCTCTGGGGCATAAGCTCCTCGGTGTATATACAAGCAACAAGCGGTAAATCATGATCATAGTCATGAAATACAGCATAAATCATAAGATACAACCCTTAGTCAAAGGATACTAAATAAGCAATCAATATAAATCGAGGATAAATACTAGGATAAGTCCGTCCGTTCCCGTTTTATTCTCCTTTCTATCGATTAAATATTGATATTCTATATCCTGGTTCTGGCTAACTCAGAATGCAAACCATTGAAGAAGAGTAAATCATCTTAAAACCTAAGAATCTGAAGTACTCTGGCTTTTCAAGACACACCTTGATCTGAAAGTGTTAGATGCAGATCTGAGATTATCTATCTATCTATCTATCTATCTATCTATCTATCTATCTATCTATCTATCTTTATATCTATCTATATATAGATCTACATCTAGATATATCTAGTCGATCTATATGTAGATATAGATTAGATATAGATATATAGAGATACCTAGATATCTATCTAGATTATAGATCTCTCTCTCACACACACACATATACATATATTTCAGACCACATTTCAAAAGTGCAAAGTGCTCTCACGGCCCCCAAAATCTATGACTCTACCGGCAATGGGATTTCAGTAGCTTATTTCACCTTTATTTCAATGGTTTTCAAAGTTTAGAACTTCCTTGGGACAAAATAAATAAATCCTAACCTAAATGAAGACATTGGCCTCTCTTTGTAGACTGAATATCCCAATTTTTTCTGTAGGGGAAAAAAAAATCTTATGAGTTGAATCCTGAACTAATTTACTAGATCAAGTTCTGATTTATTTATTTATTTATTCTGGAAAGGCACAAATCAGTTTTCTATCTTCAAATCAGTTTGCCTGTGTCCACCAGGGAGCAGCCTTTGATTAAAATATGGAACCATCTTTGAAAAAGGAAGCTTCCTAGCCATCCTTTCAGTTTTCTTGTTCCCAAAGCGCATTAATAGCTCATAAATGAACAATCTTTGTGGACGGTTCCATATGGGTCAATTTAGGGACCCATATCTTTATCGCTCTGCATAAACTCTTCCTTGCATTTGGAAAGCTACCTTCTCAAGATGAGAGGATGCCCGCAGAATATTTTCTTGCATTTCCCCTTTAGGGATACAGATCTTTCCGTGCAAAGAAAACACGTTCCCGTTTTGTGACAGTGAGAACATTTTGGAAGACCTCACAGTGCAGCTGAGACCGAAGATATGCCATTTGTTAAAAAAGAAAAGGAAAGAAATATGAAAAAATATGCACGGCTTGGAATCTGGAACCTTCCGAAATATCTGTTTGCCAAAGTGGTAGCAGAAGAAAAATGACGGTGGACGGTGTCATCTGTTCAGGATGGATAACTTATTTATGGCCTTCCTTCTGACAATATTTGCAAAACTTGGCAATCTGCAACTGATGGAGTCCAGCTGCAAGTCCAGCTGGGATCCAGATGTTTCCAAACATCTGTACATCTGTTGCTTTCGAAGTGGGCTTCCATGGCACAGGGGAGAAATGAAGGAGTGAAATTTAACTGTTGAGCTTCCCACCTCCTTTTTCTCTCTCTCTCTACCGAGTTGGCGAATCTCTGGGGCAAATCAATCAAAGACTCTGGGGAGAAGGGCATTTACGGTTAAACATTTCTCTTATGAATATGTAATTTCACTCCGCTCGATAATTTGCAAGTCCTCTTGGACTTGCTCCTGCTAGGAGGCAAGCGAAAATTCCCTGGCTGGAAATTGGGAACAGAAAGGCAGGGGTGTCCTTGTTACGACGTGGGACGCTTGAAACACACTCAAGACCTGCCTGAATTTCAGGATGGGGTGGAAGAAAATGTAATTTGTCCTGAGCCAGGTGGGCATAGCATAGCCGTCCGTTTCCCTCTGTTTCATTTGGCAGCACACTTCCTTCTTGCACGAAATGGCAGAGGAGCCCTGTCCAAATCACACCATGGCAGGGGAAAAATAATGGAATTCTCCAAGTTTCAGCTAAACTAAAAAAAAAAACAGCGCTAGAAGGTTCAATGTGTTCTTCCAAATATTCCCCCACCTTTTCTTGAGCGAAAAAAAAAAGTTAGAAGTTATGAACCTCATCCATGGCCTCTTAGGTTCCTTTAGCTCCTCTTTTCCCTCCAGGCTCTTGGAGTCCTTGGTTCAGGGGCTTAAATTTGGGTGGAGTGAAGGGTTTCCTTTCATTCTTCTTCAGGTTCTTGGACCGCTGGTTGAATATTGACTTGTTAAAAGCAAAAAAGTTGACCCTTAAAAGAAAAAAAGCATTTCCTTGCTCTGATGACAATTGTAAGATGAACTGGTTGGGTTGCACAATGGCTTTTCAGAAGCAAGAAATACCCTTGCCCAAATGACCTTGGCACGAGGAGAATGATTTGGGTTTAGGGTATGAAATGTCTGCAAGGAAACAACCAAGCTAAGAGATCATCAAGGATCCCACAATAATAGTTTTATTGCCTCTAGATAGAAAAAATATAATAGAGCATCCCTTGTGCTTTTATTTCTTCTTCTTCTTCTTCTTCTTCTTCTTCTTCTTCTTCTTCTTCTT